TTTAAAAAGAAAAAAATATTAGATCGCAGGAGAAATTTTATAAAAAACTAAATAAAAGCACCTTATCTGTCGTATTCAATGAAACACACACACACACACACACACACACATATATATATATATATATATATATATATATATATATATATATATATATATATATATATAAAAAAAAGATAGTGTAAGGCCAGAAATGTCAGTCAGTGAAATACTGAAAGAAAGGACATTTAAGGCAAGCCGTCTTTGCATAAAAGTGTTCGATATCAAAGATAGAGCATTAATCGGATTAATACAAATAAATGTGATTTATTACTTCCTTGACTGACGTTATATTCAGCTTCATCCATGCGAAACATTGTTGAAAAGTTATCAGCCCGACTAGATGTCAATCTAAGTGCCTTTGCAATTATGTTTTTTTTAATCTCTTTGTCTAAAATTGAACTTTTCACCAACCCAGTGTTATCTACATGTGTGTGCTTGTACGAGTGTCATGTGTATGTGTGGGTGTGTGTGTATGTGTATTTGTGTGTGTGTGAATGTGCGTGCGCGTCTCCACTTATATCGCCAATATAAAATTGTAAATTAATTTTAATAAAAACGTTTTCTGTTTTACTTGGTCTGTAATATTTGTCAAGACTCTCGCTTCAGAATGTGTATTGCGTGTGTGCGTACGCTTGTAGATATTAAATGACACGATTTGTTGCACACAAAAATCTGACGAGTTGAAACTTGCTCCTTAATAAGCACATTTGCGAAATATTTTATAGATAAGCAATCATCATGATTTGTCTTGTTGTTTAAGTGATCCGCTGAAGAGAAAATATTCTTCTGATATCAAAAGTAAAAATACATAACTTAACGCAATAATTATAAATTATAATTATTGCGTTACTTCATTCATCCATTGCCTCTAGAAATAATAATAAATTTCTAAGTTTATATTAAGTCCTTAGACTAGTAATGATTTATTTGAATTCTTTATGCTTTTATGAATAAAAATTCTTAAAGCCAGTAACTGAAAACTAAACTGAAACCTAAACAGAAAACTAAATTTGTCTTATTTTACCCAACACGGTAGTCCAAAAATTTTATCACCCATAAATAATATAATTTACTATTTAAGATGGCTGACACGAGCGTCAATAAAAGTGAATAAACTGAATCCATTACTTGTTCTCATTACTTTTGGTAGCGCGTGACAGGACTTTCGGACCACCCTTTATAACACTACTATTGAGCTGAGTTTTATCATTTGTCTAAAATCTTTACTGCTATTCATTTTCATAATAAATCAGAAAACTTCATTTTCTGTTATTTTTTTATTTTTTCAAAACATTACTTTCTAAAACTGTTACATATATCTTATAGACCAGGCATTGGCAACTTTTTTTCAAGCAGTGGGCCGTATGATCTATGGCTCATCAAAAGGCGGGCCACACTACTAAAAAAATTCAAGGTAATCTTTCGTAATCTTTCCTCAGTTATTTTCACCACAGAAGAACATATACTTAAGCATATACCTTAGAAATGACGGGGGTCTTTGGAGAAAAGATTTTTCTATACTTAAAATATTGTAGAATTGGTATAATATTATTACTGATGACATGTCGTTGAGTGTGGTTTATTTCTAAGTTTTCCATTTGAAAATAAAAACATTTATTTATTCTTTATATAAAACATCATTATGAATGTTTTCTGTTTGAAAGCTACAGATCTTTATACGTATGGTCTTCCATAGTGAAAGTCTCCAATGGTTTAAAATGATGAAAATGTTACTTTCACCAAAAGTTTCCAAAATTCAAGGAACATTGTACTTAGTCACTGCTTATGTATGATAAACTAATCTTGCAATAAAACTAAGCATACTATTCAAAAAGACCAAACGGACCGCATGCAACCCGAGGGTCGCAGTTTTGCCCCTGACTGTTATATACTTATATCTTATATAAGGTAAAGAAGAATTTATAGGATTCAATTCAGAAAATAATTTTAATCCAAAATTTTTAAAAAAATGTATATTTAAAATCAAAACAAAACATGTTTACTTTAAGATAATATATCTAGTAAATTTTAATGTTATGAGAAGTTCTAATACAAAATATATAAACAGAAATATTTAATACTTAATATGATTATTACCCACCCCCGCAACCAATTTTGACGTCTCATTTAAACTCGTTCCCAATGCGCACAGATTTCATTTTGCTGCGTCCTTCTTGGACTGGCCTTTCTTTAATAATCTTTTTTTGATATCACAGAAAACACGGAGAAACTAATAAAATTAAAAAAAAATAGAATTTTTTTCTCATTTGTATATAGGAAGAAAATGAGCAACTACCAACATCGAGGTTCGAACGTAACACTCTGGACTTATGAATATATGTTTTCCGCTAGGTGTATAAATAGCAGTGTCAGGCTAATGACTGCAGTGACTATTGAGTGGAACTATCCAGTCGAATTAGTGTGAATTATTGTGCGTCGATGATTTCGGTTTTGATTT